ACTAATTATAGATTTGTAAAGCCTATATCTTAAAATTCTAAACTCTAAAAAATGTTTTGACACCTAAAACCCCTTAAACACTCAAAACTAAATCCTAATAGAACATAATTAATCCAAACATAAATACTATAAATTTTTTTTTTTTTAAAAAGTGGCATTTTAAAATTTTTTTTTTTTTTTCCTTTTAACGTGACAATACTACTTTAAAGTCTACATTTACACGATTCTTTATTTCAAGTGGATCATGAGCTAGTAAACTAGAGATTGGAGTTATAGACAGGTATCCGATTCGGGATGCTTTATTTATTTTTAATTAATGTGGAAAGAACAAAAGCATAGAGATGATAATTGTGTTGGGGATTATTTTGTAAAGGCGTGTCCTGAATTAAGAAACAAACCTTAATGATAAAGATAACTGCGCGCGCAATTAGCGCTTAATAATACTGAGAATTCACAATTAGAATTAGAAAGCGCAAAAAAAAAAAAAAAAGTTCTCGTCGTTGACCTTGATTAGACTAAGCTGGCAAGTTGACTTAGCCTCTATTATGGTTATGACATTATCAATATTTACTCAAAAGGACTTTTACTCAAATGCATATCTCGAACTTTCCTTTGTATTGTACTTGTAACGCGTTTAACAACAAAATTAAAATGATGTGTGTTGTCCTATTGGGAATGTTAGAGTATGGTTAACTTAGCCGAAGATGGTTAAGTAACTCAACCGGAGGTCAATTGCATTAGTAAGTACCACATCAGGAATTTAAAATAGTTTAAAGATTAACACCACCTTTACTACTGATTAATTACACCAAATGTTAGTTATGATGTAACGATATATATCAAGCAAAACCAGAGTACCCCTCTTGAGCATGCATTCTGACTTTGATGTTGTCAGTTGCTTGGAAAACTGATCATAGCAAACTAAATCGGTCCGTTCCGGTTAATGAGATCATATAACAGGAGACATATTCATAGCTACAAAAACTTAACTTGGTGTTGTGAGTCCAGTTAATGAGATCATAAAACATAAGAGACTAAAGAGAGTGTTTTAACGCTAACTATTTTAACTTATATCATTTTAAGTTTACTTTTCAAAAATTTTATTAATGTGCATTTAGATACATAGAAACATAACTATGTTTTTTTTATTATATATGACACTATGATCGATCATACAATTTCTTTTACTATTATTACGTAGTGGTTAACCGTTGCTTTTATTAACGTTGAGCTTTTTATAATTGTTCAACTATATAATATAACACTTATAAGGAAAATCTAGAGGAAAACATGATAGATTTATGGACAAAACCAATATTGAAAAGTTTTGAGAACTCATCATATAAGAAGATACAAAAGAAATTTCAAAAAATATCATTTTTCAAGTGCCACTTTACAAAAATGCCACATTTTTGCAATCTTTAGAAAAATACCAATTTTTCAAA